CTCCATCAAGCCCAGAGGATGGCTGGGCTGGCCTCTTGTCCTGAAGGGCTTCTTCTTCCAAGATGGCCTCATTGCTGATCACCCCTACCCCCATGCCCACACCCAAACAAAAGCAAACAGCTAAAAGCTGGAGGAAGAATTAAAGGGACAGTGTTTAGCTTTCTTGGTAAAGAAGAGGCTAATTAGTTTGGCTTAATGCAGCTTTGTCATTAACAATGTTTTGTCTCCACGGTCAGGGACTTAGCTTCCTGGTCTGCAGGCTGGATTAACATGGGGCTGGCCATCTTCCTCAAATGATTCTAAGAAAACACCCAAATGCTTATTAAAATAATGACAGTGACCAGGCTAGGGTCAGAGTCTCAGACTCCAAAAACAAGTGTTGTATATCTTGTCTGATGCCCAACTGGCCCCTGGAACCTGGAGCTGTTCCTATATTTCACACCCAAGGCTGGAAGAGGAAGGATCCCCACTCCCACCTCAAAAAAAACAAAACAAAACAAAAAAAAACCTCTGGAGTAGGATAAAGTCCATAAACAAACCTCAGGTAATTCCAGCCTGGATGCCAGGGCTGCTGTACTCATCCACCCTTGGGTCTGGGTAATGGAGGCGGCGTGGGTAGGTGGAGATATGGGGAGAGAGCTGAACCTCTGAATGTATTTGCTAGCCTTGTGTCTGCCCTTGACAGAATTTCCTTTACCAGTTATTATTCTTGGTGACTGGTGTAACTAGTGATTTCAGGGATTTGTAGGAGGTGAGAGAGAGAGTTCAGGCTCCCCAAGGATACTTATGTGTATGTAAGTCAATTCCAGGTCAGGAACTGAGGTGTCTGGCCTAGGGACAGGGTCTGAAATTGAAAGGGCATGAGTTGGGGTAATCCATGTCCCCCAAATGCTAGTCAAAATGGTACTTTGGTAGCGTAATGGAGTCTGAGAAGAGACATGAGCGAGTGAGGGGCAAGGACCAGACGGGTCATTCCTTTAAGGCTTACTCCTAAGCCTACTCTGTGGTCAGTCTCCTTTTTTTTTCCTTGGTCCCATTTTCAAAACCCCTACCAGTCAACACTGGCAGAGAGACTTGGCTAGCTATGTGTTTTCTCAATCTTGGTCACAAGCAAAGAGAGAAGCCCGGAGTTGGGGGCAAAGGGCTGGAAATGCCTGAAGTCTGAGGCTTAAGGACCTGGAGACTTGGCAGTGAGGGCCTCACATCTAGAGTCTGGAGTGTGAGGGACTCTGAGGTATGGATGGCCCCTTTTGTGTTCTGAGGACCTCAGGTGTGGGGCCAAGGGTCTGAGTGCACAGGTTTGGGCGGTGAGAAGAGCATCGGATTTGGAGTGGCCCACATGGATTCAGATGCAGTCTCTGACACTTACTTGTATTCCCTAACTCCCTTAAAGAGCTAAAGAAGCTAGATTTTCCAGAAATAGTGTGTATTTTCACCTGAGATGTGGTGTTATAGCCTGAGGGGCCAAGTGTGAGGTCCAAGATTAGAGAAGAAGGGATGTTAAGAGATTTTCTAGCTCAGCTCCCTCATTTTACAGATGAAGAAACTGAGGCCCTCAGAAGGGAAATGATTTACACAAGGAGTATAGAGCCAGGATCTGAACTCAACCATGGGGGACTCAGGATATCATGGCAATATTGGATTTAGGATAATGGTCTAGAACGGTGTGAAAGGCTTGGGTGCAGAGGAAGCCTCTCTGAGGGTGGGGGCCCAGGATGCAGGATCTGAAGGGGGTGGAGAGTCAGGCCTGAAAGGCCACAAGTGAGAGACCCTCCTGGGGGTGGGGTGGAGCAGGCATGGGTGGCATCTGAATCAGGCCCCGGGTTTAGAACCTCCAGGGCCACGTGCAGTGCCCGCCCCAGCCTGTAGGGGGCCACTTGTGCTCGGAATCTGTGTGGAGGCTCCATGAGGTCTGGAGAAGGTGAGACCCCCCTCCCAGGCCCTGACTAGCGGGGTTGGGGGGCCTGGGGTGGGGTCACTGGGCCTCCCAGGCCCTAGGGATGGCTCCTAGCCAGGGGAGAGGTGCCCCGGAATGGGCTAGGTGGGCTTTTGGCAGTGGTGATGGTGATGGGGGTGGAGGGGTGGGAGAGGGGATCCCAGCTGCCCACCCTCGCTGGCCCTGCTTCCGTTGGGCCAGGGACGAACTAGAGACCATGGCTCAGAGCAGCCTTTTGGTAATTGGCCTGCTCTGTCCAAACCCACTCCTACCCCCAAGAGTGTGTAAATAAGAGTTGCTCCCATTTTGCAGATGGAAAAACTGAGATAGGCACTGTTTAGGTGGAAAGGGTGAGGTTCTCCCTGCCGGTACCACAGCAGAAAGAACACTGTCTCTGGAGTCAGAGGACCTGGGTTCAAAAACCTGCCTCTAATGCCTTGGACGAGTGATTTAACCGCTCGGGGCCTCAGTTTCCTGAGCTGTAAAATTAGGGGGTTGGTACTAGGTGGCCTCTGAGCTATGATGACTCAGGGATGCATGGGGAAAGCTATATCAGCGTTGTTGTGAGCTTAGCCCAGCCAGGCTTTGGGGTACCCTCGGTAGATTTGGCCCCACTGGGCAGGGTGTGGCGGAGACCGAGGTCACGCCTGCCTTTGTTGTGGCTTCTCTTGGGTGGAGGAGGGCAGAGGGTTCTAGTCTCTCACTGCCCTGACTGACCCGATAGACTCAATGGTCCAGAGTCTTTCTTGATGTTTTTTTAAATGGGGAAACTGAGGCAAGATAGATCTGGCTCTTGTATCCAAACAGTATTGTTTGCTCTTTAAAAAAGACCGTGTCTGGAATGGGCTTGGCCTTGGCCTTGGCTTTGGCCTTGGCTTTGGGGTGGGGATGAAGGGCGAGGAAGGGATGGTGGCTTTCCCTTTGTTTTTGAATGCTCGGGGGCTCAGGGGCTCTGGGCTCTGGGCTCTTCGCTCTGCAGCTACGCCATTCGCACCTCAGATTCTTAGGTCAAGCCCCTGCTAGATCCCAGGTCCAGGAAGAACTGGTCCCAGAAGTTTCCAGAATTCTGGAACAGGAAGGACAGACGTCTGCCTTGGGAAGGCCAGGCCCAGGGAGGGAGGGAACCAGCTATGTGTACGTGCAGGCAGGCGATTCACAGGCTCTCCGGGAGGTCCCAGATCTGGAGAAGAGCTACTTTGACCTGATCATGTTACAGAGAAGGAAACTGAGGTCCAAAGGGAAAGGGTGACCTCACAACTTAGAGGTGGAGTCACACACATACATACACACACACACACACACATACGCACATAGACACACACGCATACACATGCATACACATGCACACTCAGGCACACTCATGCACACACATGCACACATACACACATACACACATACACATACGGCCCAGCCCAGGATGGGAGCCAGGTGGGAAGGCAGCAGGCCAAGGAACATTAGATCTTTGATCTAGGACTGGAAGGAATCTCAGAGGTCAGCTACTCTCACCTTTTTATTTTACAGGGGTGTGTGCGTGTGTGCGTGTGCATGTGTGTGCATGTGCTCACCCATTGCAGAAGGGAAACCTAGATCCTGTGCCAGATGCATGGCAGAGGGAGGGGGGAGGGGAGAGAAGGAAGGGGTCTGCTAAGGGCATAGGGGACATATTGATTGGCCATTTGAGGGTTTGAGGATCTGGGGCTCTGAGTTCTGTTGATATATGTGTATATATCCAATGTTCAAGGATCAGACCTAGAACCCATGTTCTAAGGATAGGAAGAGCTGGTGGGGGTAGTAGGGTGGCTTCAGCTGTTCTCCCATGCCCCATCATATCTGCGTGTCCTCCCCTAATCTCTCCTCTCTGCAGGCAAGATAGCTGGACTCAGCAGCTTCCCTTGGGCTGCCCATCTGGTCCCATGATCTTGACCTTCATGTGTGTGTCTTTCTGTCTGTCTCTCTGTCCTTTTGTTGAGGGAGCTGACAGCAGCTGTCCCTTCTAGGTCTGGGCCCTGGTTCCAGTGAGGGGTTGAGGCTGGGGGCTGTTCCTGGGAGCAAAGAGCTGGGGAGCCAGCCTCCTGGGATCTGGTGTGAATGCATTCTGCCCCCAGCCCTGTTTCTACATCTGAAGCCAGGAGGGTAGGCCAGCCTTCCTCTCCCTTAGGGTAGCTTGGGGATGAAGGAGAGGATGGTGGGGTAGCAGGGGAAAAGGAAGACTTGGCCTGTAGGGTAGGTGGTGAAGGTGCAAAGATGGCCTCCACAGCTCTTCTATTTTGGGATGGCGTGGCCTGCTCTTTAGAGCAGTGATGATGTTGGCCTTCCAGAGCCTCTTTGCCACTTGCTGCTTTAAACTAAGAGGGAGATTCCGAGGCACTCTGCCTTTGAAGATAGAAGTTAGTGGGCTCCTTGTCACTGATAGCCAGGAAGAAGTTAAATGACCACTTGGGAATGTTGTAGAGGGGATTCCTGCTCAGGTAGGCCTTCAGAAGACCCTTGTAACTCTGAGCTTCTGTAGGGCAACTTGTCAAGCCTGTCAAAGAGTCCCTGACAAGAAGGGGGATACATGGATTTTTGAGGTATTGAAGGGGTTGTGGATGCAGGGTTATTGCTTCTTCCCCTCTCAGAGACCAGACAGGTTTGGGAAAGATGCCCTGGAGCCTGGAGTGTGAGCTCCTAGGATGAAAAGGAACCCTGAGGCCCTGATTCCCTTCCCATCAATTTTCCTGTTGTTCTGGCCCTGCCCATGTCCCAATTCCATCTGTAGCTTTTAGAACCCTTGACCTTGGAGTCAATTTCTTCATATATGATACCCCAGAGATTCCCCATATAAGGAGCAATGGTGTCCTAGAGTTCTGTGAGACAAGAATGTGGTGTTTATTATCAATGGGTATGTGTCAGTAATGCTTATAAAATCCTAGAGATGGTTTAGATGAGGTGAGTTACAATGGGTAATGTTGACCTCATCTAGAAAGGATAATTTACCCTGCAATTAGTACTCTGTAAAGGCGAGGAGAAAGCTGGCAGACCTTGGCCTTCTGCTGACCCTTCTTGCCATGGGCCTTGTTGACAGCGCCAGACCATGAACTATGTGGGCCAGCTGGCAGAGACAGTGTATGTGACAGTGAAGGAACTGTACAAGGGCCTGAACCCCGCCACGCTATCAGGTGGCATTGATGTGTTAGTAGTGAAACAACCAGATGGCTCCTTCCTCTGCTCACCTTTCCATGTGCGTTTTGGCAAGCTGGGTGTCCTGCGATCCCGTGAGAAGGTGGTAAGTTGCAAGGTCTGTGGGATGGTGGGTTGTCCCGAAGGTTTCTCCTTGACCTCAATCATCTTGGCTTAGGGTCTGGGTATCATCATGGGGGGAGGGAGAGCCTAACTCCCTTGGGAATTTAACAAGTTAACTGTCTACACTGCAGAGTGATTGGGCGGGGGGGATGGCATCATCTCCTGCCCTGCGGCAGAGAGCAAGGGTTGGAGTTCTGACACCCCAGCAGCTTGTACCAGGCAGTGTGGTAATGGGATAATGAATTCAGAGAATCTGGGTTTGAATCCTAGCTCTGCTCCTTTCTATCTGTGTCACTTAATCTCTCTAAAACTCAATTTCCTCCTGTTTAAAATGCGGGGGTTGGGCTAAGCAATATGGAAGGCGAAGGCAAGGGTGAAACTGCCTATGAGACCTGGTCTACTCCTCCCTTCCCAGGTTGACATTGAAATTAATGGGGAGCCAGTGGACCTGCACATGAAACTGGGAGACAATGGAGAAGCCTTCTTTGTTCAGCAGCTAGAGACTAATGAGGTGAGTGTACCACCCTCATCTAGTTTTCCTTCCTTCCTGCAGTTGCCAGAGACTTCCCAGATGACCCCTGCCTTTCCCCTCCCCTTTCTTCTCAGCTCCCAAAGTGCCAGGGTGGGCCTGGGTGCATTGCCAGGCCAGTCTATAGGTCTGTACTTTTGTGAGATCTTCTTAGGATCCCTGGGGTCTGGTTGAGGCCCCACTGATATTCACACTATAGCTCTAGGGTCACTTGCTGCTCTAACTGTGAGGTATGAGATATTGGAGGAACCTTGGGAGACCTGGATTCAAACTGTCCCTGCCACTAGCTGTGACCTGGACGTGTCATGCTACAGCTTTGTATCTCAGTTTCCCTAAGGGTTCTTGTACAGATCAAACAAGATAACAGATGCAAAGTGTTCTGCAAGCCTTAAAGTGCTCCATAAATGCTTATAACTGTTCAATCCCTCATGGATCACTTATTCTGTTTGGCCACTGAAAAGATGATCATTATTATAGTTCACATTTTTCAAGGCTTTAAGGTTGACAAAAAGCTTTCCTCTTAACAATCCGGTGAGATAGTACAAATATTCTTTCCCCCCTCTGCGTATGAAGAAATTGCATCTCAGAGAAGGGGTGTGATTTCAATCAATCCATCAATCTACGAATGTTAACTAATCATTCACTATGTGCTGGACCATGAGCTAAGATCTGGGAATACACAAAAAAAAAAAAAAAAAAAACAAAGATGTAGCACCTGCCCCAAGGAGCTCACATTCTAATTGGCAAGGGGGTGTGAGGTGGGGGAACAGCATGTAAATAACTATGTATCTCTAAGATGTAGAGACAGCAGATGGAAAGTAAGAGGGAAGACACTAGCAGCTGGGAGGTGTGTGTGTGTGTGTGTGTGTAGAGAATGGGAAATGCCTCATGAAAAAGCTAAAATTTGAAGGAAACCAAACAGGCATGAGGGACAGCTAGGACACAGGTATGGAAGTGGGAAATGGGGTGGGCCAGTGTCACTGGATTGATGAAGGGGAGTAAAGTGTAAAAAGACTTGGAAAGAAAAGGAGCCAGGTTGTGAGGGGTTTTTGATCCCATAGCTGGGGGACTAGAATTTAAGTCTCCTAAATACAGTAGTACCTTCTCTAATACATCACAAAGTACTAAGCATCCTCCCAACTTTAGGCATCTAACTGAATAGCATCTTAAATCACTGTAATAGGCCTTCTGTGCACATTTGCATGGAGAGTGGACAGTCTGGGAAGGCTTCTGAGTTCTCACTGTCTTTGCTTTGGACCTGCCCTCCCTAACCCCAGAAGGAGGTCCCCATCAGCCAGTGTACCTCACCTATCCCTCCGGAGACTTCGGATGAAATCCTGAACGACCCTCTGCTAGATCTCATTGAGGATGTCCACAAAAAGACCTCAGAGATAACCACCCCCCTGGAGAAGAGGAGGCGCCGCCGCAAGAAGGTTAAGAAGAAGAACAAGACAGTAACAGCAACACCACCCAATTCCAGTTCTGAGGAGCTGGAAGGAATACAGAATGAGATAATCTTAGAAATGAAACCGGCCACAGAATTGTCCTCAACCCCGTGAGTGAGAAGGCCATGGGCGGGAGTTGGGGTGGGAAAGTATCCATCTCTATGCTCTAGCCCCACAGCCATAAAACTTGGTTGGGTTGAGGCCTTCCTATTCAAGGTCCACTGAAGGGACCAAGGATAGCTGTTGATTGGAGCCTTTCTTAGCCAAGAATACAGGTCAGTAAATACTATCAGCAGGTATAGGACAGCTAAGTGGCACAGTGCACAGAGTGCTGGGCTTAGAGTCGGGAAGACTCATCTTTCTGAGTTCAAATCTGGCCTCAGACACTTACTAGCTGTGTGACCCTGGACAAATCACTTCACCCTGTTTGCCTCAGTTTCCTCATCTGTAAAATGAGCTGGAGACGGAAATGGCAAACCACTCCAGTATCTTTGCCAAGATAACCCCTAATGGGGTCACAAAGAGTCAGACAGGACTGAACAACAGCAACAGTGCACCCGACCCAGTGCTTGGCCCTGTAGAGGAGATACAGAAGTATACTATGGGTTCCCTGCCCTTGTTTGTCTGTATGTAATGGAGAAAGGGGAGGGGGATGGGGATTAGTCTAGATGGAGAAATAAAAGGCAGACAAATTAGAGAGTCATTTAAGGGAGTATATATGGAGCAGAAAGAATATAGAAACACTAAGTCGAGATGAAGTGATGTTAATTAAGAAAAACATTGTGGAGGAGGTTTGTTTTATGCAGAATCCTGAAGGGGGAAGTTGCTGCTGGTCAGTCCTTAAGTGACATTTTCTTGAATCTGAGAGCAAAGACCAGAAACTTCCTACCAGCTACCATGTGACCTCCCTTCTCTTCTGTGATCCTTTGACCACAGGATCTTATTTCTAACTGCTCTAAACTAGGAGTTACCTTAAAAATCATTTAAATCAAACCCCTGCATTTTACAAACAAGGGAACAGATGTAGATAGGATAAGTGACATTTCCAAAGTCACGTAGGCAGTCGGTGGCAGAACTATCCTAAAACCCACGTCCTCAGACACCGAGCTTCCCAAAGATCCAGGGAGGGTGTGGCTTATGCCAAGGCCCTGGAAGCCCCTTGATCATTCAATCAACAAATATTTATTAAGTACCTACTACGAGCCAGGCAGTATGCCAGGCCCTGGGAATATAAGACAAAAAATGGAACAATCCTTAGTTGCATGGAGTTTACATGCCAATGGGAGAGACAATAATTACATATATAAATAATATTCAGCATAAATATAAAGAGAATAAATGCAAAATGTATAAAGTAGTTAAATATAAGGGAACTAGAATTGGAGTCAAGAAAACCTGAGTTTGAATCCTGTCTCAGACACTTGCTAGCTATGTGGTCCTGGGCAAGTCACTTAATTTCTGCCTGACTTAGTTTCCTCATCTGTAAAATGGGAATAATGATAGTGCCTCATTTGTAGGGTTGTGAGGATCAAATGAAATAATATATGTAAAGTGCTTTGCAAACCTTAAAGCACTATCTACATGCTAGGTATTATTATCATAGTTATTTTGCAAGGTAGTTTAGGAGGAAAGGTGCCAGCAGCTGAGGATCAAGAAAGGCCTCATGCTTGCTTTTCTCTCTTGGTTTATCGAGAAGGAAAAGATTTTCATTTCAGGATTGGCAAAGAGACTAAGGTTATTTCTGCTTTGGAAACTACTCTCTTGAATCACCAGGTATTTAGGATAGACTCATCAGCTCCGGGTCCTGCTCCCCTTGGGGCCTGTGGAGGTGTAGGACCAATGTGGCGATGGGTACCCAGTCTGCATGTTACTGGTCCCCTTCTGACTTTCAGGGGTGGGCTTTGGACCTACGAAGACCATATCTCTCTCTCCTTTATGCCTCTGTCATCCTGGAGACCCAGGCACTGGCCTTCCCTTGCTCTGTGGATGATAAGGCCCAGGGGTGGTGGGAGCATGGCCTCACCTCTCTACTGTATAGTGACTCTGTTTTCCTTTCTTACTAGTATCAAAACTGATGGTAATGGCTCTGCACAGCACAAAGATTCCTGTCTCTATTTAGATGTGGACTACCCAGAGAGGGACAGGTAAGAGACTATATCAATGCACAGGCTTGTGGTCACTCAGTGGGGGCTGTAGGGAGGGAGGAGGGAGGGGGAGATGGGCCTGACTTGAGATTCATGAAGACCACTCCCAGAGAAAAGTTCAGTGCTGGGCCGTGAGAGCTAAGGTCCAGATTGCATCAGGGTGGGAGCAGAGCTGAGCCTAGAGGTCATGGGCAAGCAGAAGGGGGAGAAGGAGATGAGTGTGGCCGGGAGACCAGAGGGAGCCTCTGGTTGGCAGCCTTCCGGGCAGTTTATCCTCAGAATATCTAACGAGCTTCAAGAGTGACTCTGAACTGGAGATAAGATCCTCAGACCAGAACTACACGAGGACTGGGTCCCACATGCAGTGGCCCTGGGGGAAACTTCCTCAGGTCAGCAAATGGGAGCTTGACTTTGTTCATTCTTTTTTTGGGAGAAGGGGATGTGGAGAGGTCTCAATCCAGGCAGCTCCCTCTCCCTGAGGTCATTGGCAGTGATGAAGGGTGTGTGGGGCTTCCTAGGGTACCATCAGAGAGATCACTAGTCCACATCCCTGTCCCTCAGAGGCATCCTAGATTGGGGATGGACCACAGAATCCCTGAATTAATGGGGTTTATTTTGTGCCTAAGTGCCTAGTTCCACCCTCACCCCATTCCAACACGCCTCCCCCCACACGCTCACACACTCCCTGGGCCAGGGCCAGGACCTATGAGACCTTGGATCCTGCTGGCCTAATCTCTCCTTGTTTGCCTGAAGGTGATGAAAGGCGAGCATGTGAAGCTGCTGAGGGCATCGCACAGTAACATATCGACCAAACTTCTTCTTTGGGAAGAACCGATATTCCAGAAGGCTAGTGTTCACACATTGGCAGAGTCTCAGACTGTCCTCCAGGATGCTGAGGGCAGACCTTCAGAGGCAACCAAGTTCTACCTTACAGCAAGAGAACTCACTGCCACCCAGGAGTCCCTCTCACAGGACAATGAAGAAAGTGTGGCTGAGAACGCTTGGAGGAGGAGCTCCTTGTCTGACTCTGTGTCGGCCAAGGAGCCCACAGCTCAGGAGGGCTCTGATCCCTCTGGGCAGAGAAAAGAGAACAAAGGTAAGCCTGGTGAGTGAATGCGGGTGAGCGGGAGGGAGGAGATAGGAGGCACAGCGATGTCTCCCTTGGGCTGGGATCAGCCCATGTGACATTTTTGTGGTCCTGAATTTATTTAATGCCGTGGAGTCTGTCTTATCAATGCCCACAATGGCACTGCCTGGCCTGAAGCTTCCTTCTCCGCACTCAGAACCACGGAGGACAAGTCAGCACCTGGGACCCAGCGATATCTACCTTGAAGACTTGCCTTCCCTGAGTTCAGCTAATGCTACCCTTTACTTCCCCCAAAGGTAGTGGCGTTCTTGCCATTCTCTCTTTTTTAGGATCTTTTTAAAATTTTAATTTTTTTCAATTAATAAAAAAAATCTATTTTTTCTTTCTCTCACTTCCCTTCCACCATTGGAAAAAAGAAAAAGAAAACTCTTGTAACAATAATGCATAGTCAAGCAAAACTAATTCCCACATTAACTGTGTCCAAAAAAAATGTATATATACATATATATATATGTATATATACATATATATATATATATATATACACACACACACGTGTGTGTGTGTGTGTGTCACCCTTTGCCAATCCTTTCTCTGTTTAGGAGATATGTAGCATGTTTCATCATCAATCCTCTGGAATCATGGTGTAAATCAGAGTTTTTAAGTCTTTCAAAATTTTTTTTTCTAGCAATGTTTTTGTATAAATTGTTCTGCTCATTTCACTCTGTATCAGTTCATGCAATTGTTCCCAGGTTTCTCTGAATCTGTCCCCTTCATCTTTTTTTTTTTTTTTAAGGCAATTGGGGGTAAGTGACTTGCCCAGGGTCACACAGCTAGTATGTGTCAAGTGTTTGGTCTGAGGCTGGATTTGAACTCAGGTCCTCCTGACTTCAGGGCCGGTGCTCTATCCACCTAGCTGCCCCATCTTCATCATTCCTCACATACAATAGTATTCCATTATATTTAGAGACCATAACTTGCTCGAGTATTCTCTAATTAGTAGGCACCTTCTTAGTTCTTTGTCACTACAAAAAGAGCTGCAACAATATTTTTGTACATTTGGGTCTTTTCCCACTTTCTTTGATCTATAGATTTAGTAGTGGTATCACTGGGTCATAGACTATGCTGCACATTGGTAACTTTTAGGAAATAGTTCCACATTTCTTTCCAGAATGACTTGCTTAACATTTCCACCTACAGTGTATTAACATTCCTCTCCAATTTGTCATGTTCCATTTTTTTGCCAACTTTGCCAATCTGATGGGGGTGAGGTGGAACCTCAGAGTTGCATTAAATTGCATTTCTCTAATGATTAGTGATTTGAACATTTTGTCATATGGCTTTTGGTAGCTTAGATTTCTTCCTCTGAAAATTGTTTATAAACTTTGACCAATTGAGGAATAGCTCTTATTTTTATAAATCTGAATCTCTTCCTTACATATCTTGGAAATGAGATCTTTATCATAGAAATTTACTCCAAAGATTTTTTCCCTAGTTACCCACTTTCTTTCTAATGTTAACTGAATTGGTTTTGCTTGTGCAAAACCTTGTTAATTTAATGTAGTCAAAACTGTCCATTTTATCTTCTGCGTTCCTCTCTTTTCTTCGATCATGAGCTCTTCCCCTATCCGCAGATCCTAAAAGGTAATTTCTTCTTTGTTCCTCTAAACAGTTTAGAACGTCTAAGTCATTGCGCCCCTTTATGTTAGTATATGGTATGAGATATTGATTAACATCTAGTTTCTGTGAGACTGTTTTCCATTTTTCTCAGTAGTTTACTACTCACCCCAGTAGCTGGTGTCTTCATGTTTCAAATGCTTGGCTATTTATTATTCCCATTTATTTATGTATGTTGTATACCTAATCTATCTCACCGATGAACCTCTATTTCTTAATCAGTACCAAGTCATTTTGATGATTATAGCTTTGTTGTAAAGTTTGAGATTTGGTACTGCTTTCCTTTCCTTCCCTCTTTTTTCATCATCTCCCTTGAGATTCTCTACTTTTTGTTCCTCTAGATTAATTTTGTTATTTTTTTCTATACAAAATCTATGTACTCTACAAAGTAATCTTTTGGTAGTTTGGTTGGTAAGGCACTGGATAAGTAAATTAATTTAGGTCTTATTCTTTTTTTCTGGTACTGCCCAAGGCTTCAGAGTCCCTCATTCCTGGGGGTGGGCTGATTAAGGGTGCCAGGCCTCTTACTGGGATGAAGGACAGGGAGCTCAAGGGAAAGTTGCCTTTAAACTATGTCCAAAAAGTTACTAAACTGTGCTTAGCCTATGTCCCATCGATGCCACTACTAGATCTTTACACCAAAGAGATCACAGGAAGAGGAAAGGGACTCATGTACAAAATTTCTTATAGCAACTCTTTTTTTAGTGGCAAAGAATTGGAAATTGAAGTCATGCCACTCAGCTGAGGAATGATTGAACAAGTTAAGGAATGTGAATGTGATGCAGTACCATTGTGCTGTAAGAAATGATGAAGGGGGATGATTTCTGAGAAACCTAGGAAGACTTGTATGAACCGATGAAGAATGAAATAAGCAGAACCAAGAGAACAATTTATACAATAACAACAGTATTGTAGAGACAAACAACTCGGAAAGATTTAGAAACTATGATCTATGAAATTACCAACCATAATTCCAAAGGACTCATGACAAGACCTGCTACTTACCTCTGGATTATTGTTTGTCCTTCGTTCTCTTTTTCTTTTCTTTCTTTTTTTTTTTTTTTTTTTTTTGGTAAGGCAATCGAGGCTAAGTGACTTGCCCAGGATCACACAGTAAGTGTCAAGAGTCTGAGACAGGCTTTGAACTCAGGTCCTCCTGACTCCAAGGCTGGAGCTCTATCCCCTGTGCCACCTACCTGCCCTGTTCTTCGTTCTCAAAGAGGACCATGGCATCAGGAAGGTGACACCATGACTTAGAAGTAAATTGAATTTAAGTGAGGGAGGACTGTGCAAAGTCACCAGCCTCACTTTCTCCTCAGGAAACATCTGGGTCCAGTGGCCAGATATGGACTCAGAGTGCAGACTGAGACTTTTGGGGATGGGGTGGGGAGAGACAGGGCTAATGTGGGAGTCTGTTTTGCCCAGCTATATATGTTTGTAACAGAGAAAGAAGGAATGAAAGAGAGATGCATTTATTAAGTACTTACTGCGTGTCAGACTTGGTATTAAGCACTTTACAAATATTATCTCATTTGATCCTCACAACAGCCCTGGGAGGAAAATGCTATTATATAATTCTCATTTTACAGTTGAGGAAACTGAGGCAAGCAGATTATGTGACTTGCCTGGAGTCACACAGCTAATAAGTGTGTGAGGTCAAGTTTGTCTCTTAACAGTGGGGGGAGAAGACGGAAGGGAAATGAAGTGCATATTTAATGATTAAAAATAAAACTTAGTTTAAAAAAAAAGAAAGTTATTTTTAGAAAAGATGTACCTATTCCCTTTGATTTACCCTGTGGAAGGGGTGGGTCTCTGGGAGAGTCAGCATAGTTCTTCCACCAGCCCAAATGATGCAGTAGCGGCAAGCCCTTTCCCAGCCCTCTCAGTAAATTCTCACTGCTTATTTCTCCATCCTCAGTGAAATCGGGCTTGAAGCCAGACGATGGAGTGAGCCCGGCTGTTCCCAGACAAACCTCTTGCAAGCCACAGTTGTGGAAGATAATAACACAGACCAGTTGTCTGATACTGCCCTGGAGCAGGGGAACGACATTGAGCTTTCTCTCTGTGGTGGACTGGCTGATAACCGGGACATCTCAACAGGTGGGTCTGATGGTAGTTTTTCATGGGGAGCAGAAGAGAAGGACCCAGGGGACCCCATTCACAAGGTAGAGGTGGGGGCAGGGAGGAAACCTGCAACTGATGTGAAGAAGGTCAATGGCGAGCATTCTACAGTCCAGTGGCTGGGGTACCAAGGCTGTCCTCACTCCTTTGGGCCAGGGGTGGGGAACCTGAAGACTGAAGTCAAAAGGCTGCATGTAAGGATCTAGAAGGCCACACGTGGCCTCAAGGATGCCTGCTTTGGGCCCTACAGGAGAAATGGCCTAATTGTGTCTCTGACCTCCTCTTCAGTCCCCACCACACCTGTCCTCAGGTCTCTCACATCTGTTTGTGTTCTCTCATTTTCATTTGCCTCCTCTTGCCTGTAGAGAAGTTTACCAGATACGCCATCTGCTACCAGGATCTCGCTGACAACCCAGGAATCTTGGATGACCCCAACCTTGTGGTGAAAATTGGAATGAAGTAAGTCTCCTGTGAGGAGTGGGCAGAAATGTCTTCAATCCTTCCAGGACCCCAGATCAGGAAGACAACCATTGCTTTGAATCTGAACAACATGCTGAATTACTCTTCAAGCACCTTGTCTCAGGTCTGCCTGTCAGAGAGCCTAGGGCAGGGGTCTAGGCCCTTTGCCAAAGGGCCACACTTAAGGACCTAGAGGGCCACAGGTGGCCTTGAGGTCACAGGTTCCCCACCCTTGGTTTAGGGGATGCCAGCTTCAGGTACTTCAGGCATCTTCTACCTACAGCACCAGTGCTAAGCATCCTCAGTCTCCCTTTCTCATTAGCAATTCAGACCGTGCCTCTGGGGACAAGCCTATCTCAGAGCCTTCTCTACTTAGGGGCAGCAAGGTGACTCCATGGAGTACTGGATCTGTAGTCAGGAATATCTGAGTTCAAATCTGACCTCAAACACTTACTAGCTGTGTGACCGGGGACAAGTCATGTGACCCGGGGCAAGTCATTTAACCCTGTTTGTCTCACTTTCCTCAACTGTAAAATGGGGATTACAACAGCACCTACCTTGCAGGATTGTTGTGAGGATCAAATGAGGTAGTATTTGTAGAGCACTTAGTGTTTGTGGGTAGCACATAGTAGATGCTACATAAATGCTTATTTCTTGCCTCTCTCTATTTCCCAGGGGAAACCTCTATTCACTAGGAGTGGGGTGGTTATCAAATGCCTACCCTGTACAAAAGGATATGGATGTAGCAGGAGCCTCTCAGGAGGGCTAGGATCAAGCAAGCTGGGGGAGCTGGTGTGGTTAGGAGTGGATGCAGGAGCAGTGACAACTAATAGGAGGAGCTCTAGATATGAAGTTGAAGGGCCTGGGTTCAAATCCTGACTCTACTGTTTATCTCCCTTTGTGACCTTGTGGGCAGGTCTATACCCTCTACAATCCTGTTGCCTCATTGGTAAAAGATATGTGTGTGTGTGTGTGTGTGTGTGTGTGTGGTGGGGGAGGGGGAATAAGGGAGTGAGGAATTTCCAAAATTTTTTTCAGACTCTCACATATGATGGTTCTGCTCTTAGTAACTATGGATTGAGCAAAAAAAAAAATGCAATTTTATACGTGTAAAGAAAAATAACCTCGATGATGATCAAACCCCCTCTCTCGTTTCCAGTCTTTGTTGCCTGGGGGCATTGAGGGTTAGCCTTGCCGAGGTTACACAACTGGTATGTGTCAGACGCAGTAGCTTCCTGAATCCAAGACTGGCCCTCTCTCCACTATACTTTGATTAAGAAAATAGGCAATCATAAAAAAGCTCCTGTGAATTTAGCAAATAATTCAGCGTAAGACACATGCATCCTGGCCCAGGAAATCAGGGCAGGAGCCTATTCTGAAAGGCGGGCCTATTGCGGGATCTTCCAGGTCCCTCTCACAAAACAGTTTTTTTCTTGATAACTCTTTTTACATCATACTCATTTCTAAATACATTCCTCTCTCCCCAGCTCCACTCTCCCTAGCCAGTGAGATATCCTTTGTAGAAGAGATAAGAAAAGTTCAGCAAAACTGACCCATCTATCGGCTGTGTCTGACAGAGCATGTGATACTCCACTTTCGTAGCTCCTCCCCCACCCCCATCTCTGCGAAGAAGGGAGGCCTAGTTTTTACACTGACCTAAAGCTTTGACTCTGGGTACCTTTGGCTTGTTCAGCTGCTGGGGCTGGCCGGCCTGTCCTTTCCATCACTGTTCAGCTACGTTATGTCCACATCTGCTGTTCACACTCTGTACTTTATATGTGAAATTCTTACTTGGTTCCAAACAATCCCTGAGACCCCATAAACTGAAACACATAAGGAAATCCTGAGCATGAGAGGTGCCAACTCACCCTAAATAGCTCCCCCCGGGACCTGGCTGCCTGAATTCTTGGAGCTGCCTATTAGACTACAGAGGCAGGAGAGCAGGGTTCCAGTCCCAGCTCTTAATACTATCTGTGTGACCCTAGGAAGCAGCTACTTAGCCTCTCTGTGCTCAACTTTCTCATCTGTAAAATGGGGGTAGATGATACTTATAAACCTAAAAAGATAATTGTTTAAAAGGTAAAAACCTTAAAAAATGTGAAATATGCTGTGTAAATGATCCCAATGTGACTGAATTTAAGGAGCATGAGGGAGCATCTACATGACTATTAAAGTCCTCTCAGGTAAGGACAGGAGTTGCGAAGGAGAGGAAGATGGCAAGCCTGGTGCTGAACTTCTGGAGATATTTCCATAGAGGACCTGATTCTGCTATTGCTGCTACAGCATCTCAGGTCCTTGATACTGATCTTACTCCATGCCATCGTATTGGTCAGGGACAGACAATTTGATTGAGAGGAAACAGTAAGCAATTGGACATTTCTTAAAGTCCAGTGATTGGTCAGTCATAAAACATTGATGAAGCACCTGCTGGGTACCCGACATGGTGCTGATAGCTGTAGATACAAAGCAAGGCAAAAGACAGTCCTGTTCTCAAGGAGCTCACAGTCTAATAGGAGAGATGGCATATAACTATGTACAAACAAGCTACAGACAAGATAAATTGGGACTAATCAGCTGAGAGAAGGCACTAGAATTAAGGGGGATTGGGAAAGGCTTTTTATATTTAAGCTGGTACTTGAAGGAAACTAAGAGGTGGAGATGAGGAGAGAGAGCATTCCAGATATGAGGGACAGCCAGAAAAAATGCCTGGAGTCAGAAGATGGAGTGTCTTTTTTGAGAAACAGCCAGGAGGCCAGGGTCATTGGACTAAAGAGTAATAGAGAGGAGGAATGGGGGAGGTGTAAGAAGATTAGGGGGTACAGGTTATGAAGGGCTTTGAACAACAAATAGCAAAAACCAGAGCTGGACTTGGAATCAGAAAGACCTGGGTTTGAATCCTGCCTTAGGTGGTATCTAGTTTTATGGACCCTGGATAAGTCATTTAACCTCAGTTTCCACATATGCAAAGTCAAGATAATACCTGTAGCAATTGCCTGACAAGATTGTGGTAAGACTCATGTAAGATCGTGAGACTAAAGTGATTTGTAAATCTGAAAGGACTATAAATGTCAGGTGGTACTGTTACTATAATTAGCTGTCATTGTTATATCATTTTTCTCATCTTTTTTGATCAGGGTTCAGATAGAACCCATCCTAGGGCAAGTTTCTTTCCTACTATGATTCTTTTGTGTTTAATTTTCTGCAGACTATTTTACTGGTCGATGGAATAAGAGTATTGGAATCTACTATTATTATTACCCATATTATTATCTAATTCTGTGGACTCTTGCCCAAGTGGACAGAATAACTGCTTTCTGTAGTTGAATAACAATACTGGAATGTAAGCTAGGTTTACTGACAGCATCATTAGGGCATCTCCAACAGCATATAAGATGACAAGGATAGAATGCACCTCACCCTTCGTCCAAAAGATTTTGTTTCAGTCAGGTCTCTGAACTTTGAAATCTTATAAGTATTTGGGATAGCAACATCTATTAAAAATGTTGTTAAGTTTTTATGAATCAATGCTATGTCCACACAATTGTGGGCAACCATTTAATATGTGATAAGAGTCTGATGCCAGTATAGTTTACAAGTTGAATTTTCTAGTCAATTTTGAAATATATGTAAATGTTTGCACAATTTTGGCCACCAGGTCGTGTCTTGTTAGGTATTTCGTAGATGCTAAATTTTTACAGCCTGCAGTGATATATTGCATTTTCTCCACCCTTTCCTTACATAGTATGCATTGATCACTAAGTCTGGAAGCCTAAGGGATCTCCCTTCAGTATTTTTGGGCAATGATCTGGTCCTGAATACCCATCACAAACACTTCCATTTGCACAAACAAACCTGGATAACTCGTCCTTATGTTGTTGACTGAGTTCTTGTGATATCACCTGAGGACAGTCTTTCAGATTCCACTCTTAAATCTTAGTCATTTCATAAGCTTCATCCAGTGGTCTAAAGCCATGTACTTATCATCCGTCTCTAGGGTTGTCTGGTGAAGTAATGTCTGCTTATTCTAAAAGTCTTTCTGTCACGTACTCTAAGAATGTTTGTCAAGTTGCTTCCTCCTTTTGAGTAATTGATCTTTCTATAACCACCTTAGGGCAATAGGCTTTATGTTTGATTATTATTTCAGGAGGGTGGCTGTTAAGGGTATGTTCCAAAATGATTACAATCCATTTTACAACTTTGAAAGCTAATATTGAACAGGTGTTCATTGCTTTAAGTGCGTTCTTCCTATTCATCTTTGATTTTAGAATGCCTGTTTCAGCTTATTAAACCACAACCTTGAAATCATTATGCTTCATTTGTCTTGCCTGAAGGAGATCAGAGTATTTCTAGGTATGTTTTTATCCATTGTTTCCATGTAACCTTGTGATTCAAGCTTGGTATCTTCAGGCTCTACCCTTTCTTGGTATATGTTAAGAATCATACCTTTATTGAGCCAAAATACTACTTTGATAACATTAGAGAAAGATTCCATGAAATGAAACTGTTTAATTTGTTTTTAGGAGCAGCTATAGCTTGATATTTTTCATGTACACCAAGAGGTTAATAAGGTATTTTAGTTCGACTTTTAATTTGGTGTGGTAATTCTCTCTCTCTCTCTCTCTCTCTCTCTCTCTCTCTCTCTCTCTCTCT